ATTATTATTATTATTATTATTATTATTATTATTTTTATTTTTATTTTTAAAAAAAATAGTATTTTAAAATTATTAAATTTTTCAAAAATTTTGTGATGAGAACGGCATATACAATAGTTTGGATTGGTCTATATAATCTATTGATATGATAAAATATAAATAATATTTATTAAATGTACGTCAACTCTTTACGTTAAGTTAGCTACAAATTTTGGCAGTAGATTAGATTTGACGGAAATTTCAGGTAAAGTGGCTATCAGGGATAATGTTAGGTATAATACAAGCTATGTCGGTATAGTTGATGTTCTATATTAATAAAACCGATTGTAGAGAACGATCTAAATATCGATTGCGCGCTGTGGTGTATTATGACCAACACTCAATAAATTAGTAACCATTCTCTTTTTGAATTTACTATTTACTTGTAACTGATAAAATTAGATTAGAAAGTCACACTCAAACAGACAACTGTATTTCGACAAATTATATGAATTAATTTTGATTATTATTAAATGCTACATTTTTATTTAAAAAAAAAAAAATATGTATGTGTATCAGAGTACACAGGTAAGAAGTAAAACTTCTTTATGACACATCATTTTTCTACTATTTATAACTTCATAGAAATTGGGTAGATAAAGCTTAAGAAAAAAAATTTTTTCCATATTAAATTAAAGATATTTCAATATTATAATAACCATGCATACAGATAATAAGAGTAATTCATTTTATCATTGCTCTTATGATAATTATTGTATTTCATCGCACTGTTTAATTTTTTCATGCGCCTAAAGAAGTTTCACTTCAAAAAATAATTTTTTCGTATATTATTTTTTTTTTCTCATCATTATGCCACTAAATGAAATTACAACTGTTTAAAATTTAAAAATTACGCGATTTACCAATCTCAATTAAGATAAAAATAAAAAAAAAATTGTAGAAAAAAAAATTTATTTTTTGTAACAAATTTCAAAAATTCCAATTTTTTAAAAAACAAAAAACACAGTTCCAAAAATTTCAGGATGTTTTAAGATTGGTACAAGGTAATATACAAACAATTTGAATCAAAAATTTATTGTCTACCGTCATTTTTGACGATTTTCAAAAATTCAAAATTTGATAAATTTGGAATTTTTCAACATTTTTTCCCCAAATGCTTTTTGTTCAATAGCTCCCAATGTCCCCTTTCGAACAAACGAAAGACCATTCCTGTATTTATACTAGCGTCTGAGATATTACAAAAACATAATTGAAAAACTTAAAAAATGACCCATATGCTAGCTCAGAAGTCACGCGAGAAGAAAGACAAATGTACAAGCCAACATTTGGACCGATCGTGCCTCTATAGCTTGTACGCGTTGTCGCTCGCACGTTCAGGCTCAGGCGGAAATTCCTATTTTTGTTTTTTATTTTTAATAAATATTTGTCAACAGTTAACAAATATTTGTTAAGTGTTGACAAATATTTATTAACATTTAATAAATCGTATTCAATAAATAATTTATTAACTGTTAATAAATATTTATTTAATCTTATGATGTTAAAAAATTATTTATTAACAGTCAATAAAGCTTATTTAATATAAACAAATCATTCTATCAGTGCGTCAAATAACATATTAAAGATAAATGTACTTACGTTTGTCGACAAGCAAATCTTTTTGATTTCGGTTTTGTTTTCTTTCGTTTACGAGAACGTATGTTTTGAATACAGTGATTAACATTGCAATTCGCGATGTTATCATTATCACTTTTTTCTTCATTCACCATGATTTTACTTATGAGAAATTAAATTTTCACAGATGGACAATTTTATTTATACACAGCAATTTATGTTTTGAAAGACACACACTTAGTTGTAATTAAGTAGTTATTTGTGAATAACTGCTTTGTAAAAAAGTCAAACGCTGACTCGCAGGATTTTTTGTTTATTGTCCCACTCACAAACATATGTATATAGAGCTATACATATATGTATATATATATGTATTTATTATGCCGCGAAATTAGTAGCGCTTCGATGGCGCAATATTATTATAGTAGTAACAAAAATACGTTGTAACAATGGCGGCAATTTTCAAAGATGAATAAACAATGTTGGTATTAATAAACTAACATTGCAGCTAATAACTGAAGGAAAAAATCCATTACGAAAAAAAGGCGTAAAACCGTTTAATTTTTCACACTTGCGTTTTTTAAAAATATTGGTATAGAAAATTTATTAATTTAAAAAAAATATAAAAACCTGTCATGTGATTGTTAACATATCTGAGAAAGATTAATTTATGTTATATTAATTTTTTAAAAATTATTCTATGTAATCATAAAGGTTTTGTTATATTTTTCGTGTACCTTTAAAGTGAACAAATTATATTGAGCGTTCAATTTAATGTCGTCAAGCCACTAAACCATAGCAAAGTTGTATTTTTTTTTTTATTATTTTGTTCTTTATATTTTATTTTAATTTATTTTAATGACATAAAATTTATATGTCACTTCAGACTTTTTTAATGTTTTCTAACTACGAAATTTGTTTTTAAAAATTGTTTAAGAAAAATTGCATTTTTTATTTTTTAAAATTTCTACATGTCCATTTTTTTTCTAACTTCTTTTGTAATAATTTAATTGTTACAAAAATTGTTAAAATTATCAAATATCTGCTAAATTAATTTAATTTATATAAAATCATTTTATATATAATCGGTGGTGAAAAAATATTAATTTTGGTGTTAAATATGGTCGAGATCAGAACTGCTCGTTGTATTAGACCTATCGACCTATCGACTCTTCGACTGATCGATTACGTGAAGATTCATTTGTGTACAGTAGTATCGATTCTGAACAATCGAATGTAATCAGCTGACAGGCTGACAGACCTAATAATTGTTTTTAAAAGAAGAACACATATTTAAACTAAATGTTGATTATTTAAATGATTAAAATGATAAATTTCATTTAAAAATATTTTATTGAACATGATGGTAAGTGATCAATAAATTTTCAGATGCGTATTTTATACATATTTCATGTTCTGAGTTAACCTGAAAAATAACTGTGTTTATTTTTTATTTCTCTACTTCGAACACATGTACTTTAAAGATTTCTACCTACAGTAATTAATTAATTAAAAAAGAAATTTTATGTCAATTGTAAAAAAGACTATTGAAAGTAAGTTTTGGTAATACTTTTATAAATTTCAACTATTGAAAGAGGAAAAAATTTACTGTTTTCTTTATTTATTACAACTAAAAAAATTAATAGTAAAATTATTATACAACGCATAATTTAGTGCAGTTCTTTAATATCAATTATAACTTGGAACTAAATAGGTTAATAAATATAATATATACATATGAAATTTTTAATTCATTTAATTTAATGTTACAGCTTTGCCGACAAAAAATTTTTCACGTTAAAATGTGTGACTTGTACATGATTCCCAAGGATGAAGACTCTAGTTCTGATCCCGAAACCAAGAGAGCTTTTGGTATTACTGCTATTTAGGTGGCGAGAAACCCTTTTGCTGTTCTGGATCGAGGATAATATTCACTGGTGATTGAAAATTTTAAAAACAAAGTTACGAAAAAAGTCTAGATTTCCAACTGCAATGAAATATTCAACGCTGCAACTGGCATGCTGTTGCTTGGTGACTCAAACCAGATCATAATGTTCGACGTTTACCAGAAACGCCAGCTCGTGGAGGTCAAAATCTCCAAATATCGATACACAGTATGGTCAAATGATATTTCGCACATCGTCATACTATTAAAGCATACTGTAAATATCTGCAATCGTAAATTGGAGTCTCTGATCGATTTCTGAGAACACAAGAGTCAATTCCGGAGCCTGGCACGACTCGAGAGTTTTTATTTACACGACGAGCAACCATATTAAGTACGCGATTGACTTTGGCGTTCACGGAATTATCCGAACGCTGGCCGATTTACGTAACGCTTGTCAAGAGTAACCAAGTTTACTGTTTAGACCGAGAATGTAGATCCAGAATCCTAAAAATCGACCTTACTGAGCATCTTTAAGCTTGCTTTAATTAATAGGAAGTATGAGAAAGTTTAGCAGATGGTAAGGACTGCTAATTTAGTGGGACAATCCATTATAGCATACTTACACCACAAAGGCTACCCAGATATGGCTCTTCACTTTGTAAAAAACGAAGCCGTTAGATCGCTAAATCAAAAATCTTGCTGGAAGAGTCTCGCTCAAGCTGCTTGGTTGCAAAGCAACCATCAGGTCGTCGAGATGAGTTACCAGCGGATAATGAACTTTGAGAAGATTTCGTTTCTCTACTTGTCCACTGACAGCTTGGAGAAACAGAAACAGATCACAAAGATCGCTAAAATCCATAAAGACGTCTCAGCTCAGTATCAAAGAAGTCTTTTGCTCGGAGATATCTATGAACACGCAAAAATCCTGAAAGAAGCTGGACAAGCTTCCTTGGCCGCAATGACCAAAAATATTGTCGGAATTGCCAATGAAGATGATGAAGAGCAGGTCGAGTTAAATGGCGATGAATTCCAGGAAATAATACGTGGCACTATTTATCTGAGACCTTTGGTGCCGGTCCAGCAGGTAGAGAACAATTGGCCATTGTTGACCGTCTCCAAGAGATTCTTCGAAGGCGCGATGTCACGAGGAAAGAGTCAAGTGGATACTTTGCTGCTCCTACGAAAGGAGTCCCTCCGTCTCATCACTGGACGAACAATTCTCAGCTGGCCGTAGACCACATCCTCGTCGGTTCCTTCGAGACTGCTTGCTATCATCTTCATGACCAAGTTGGTGTTACTGAGTTTCTAGCTTACCAAGCTCATTTCCTCAACACTTTCGCTAGATCCAGGACTAGTTACGCTTGTCTGTCGAATATTCTTTTGCTGAATGGATTCCCACTGCGCAACTGCAAGACTGCTATGTCTAGAACTGGGCTTCCTGCTGTTTATCGTCAATTGAGGGAGTTAGTCCAACGCTTGTACAGCTGCTACCAGATGACAACTGGCGATAAATTTACAGAAGCTATTGAAAAATTGTAGGCTATCCTTCTGAGCGTTTGTTTGTTGGTTTTTAACATTAGACAGGACATTGCTGAGGCTCAGCAACTGATAAAAATTTGCCGTGAGTACATTCTCGGTCTGAAAATAGAGAGCGGGCGTAAAAATGCTCTGCGTAAAAACGAGTCTGCGAGATGGCTGCGTACTTCAACCACAGTCCATCAAATCTTTACCTTAAGAACAGCTGTTAATTTATTCTTCAAGCTAAAGAATTATAAAACCACGGCTTCGTTCACCAGACGGCTCCTCAAATTAGGACCAAGAGCTGAAGTTGCTCACCAAGTCAAAAAGATTCTTCAGGGCTGTGACAAGAATCCAGTAGACGAACTCCAACTCCTATATGACGAGTAAAATCCGTTCTCGTTATTTGCTTCAACTTACACGCCAAGGCATCTACTCGCTTGATGACGTTTACATTAGCAAAGTCAAATTTTTAAAGAAGCCAAGATTTGAACTCAGTAAATTAGTTTATATAAATAGTAATATATCAAATTTTGTTAATATTCAAAATATATATGAGTTGAATACTCATGACTGCAAGTTAATCATAAAAATTTGCGAAGAATTCACATCGTTAAAAAATTTACGAACATCAAAATTTCTCATGAAATGTTATCATCAGAAAATAAGTACGTTTATTCCTAAAAGTAATCATGAATATTGAATGGAAATAACTTTAAATTTCTTTTCCAGGATAGAAAATGGAAACATGCCTATGGACACTTGTAGGTCCTTAATTTATTTCTAAATAATATTCATTGCCACTGGTGACTGGCATTAAAATATTGCCGGTTTATCATGATAATTTAACACAAAATAATAAGGTAAATATAATTAAGTTTTTATAATATTAAATTAAATATTAACATAAATTATATAAATATATAATTAAAAATTATTAATGATCATGGTGTAAGTACTTAACGTACAAAAAAGAATTAATTACATTTTGAAATGTAATTTTTGCGAGTAGAAAAGTTTTTATTCGAAGCTAAACTAAAATTAATAAATAAATTATACGTACATGTATAAAGATGAATAAAAATAAAGTTTAATTTTGTCAAAAACCATTTATTTAATGGAAAATAAAGTTCGTAAGTAATAACAACAAAATTTTCATAATATTTTTAATTACTTTGTTAATCAACACAAAAAAAATACATTAATTAGAGAGAAATTTTCAACACAGAAAATTATTTTCAAGAAAAATTGTTGAGCTAAAACATCTCTACTTAAAGAGATTTAGCTTTGTTTTATAATTTTTCTCTTTTATTCAAGACGATAAATCTTCAAAAAAAATTTTTGGTTTTAAAAATATTTTACTTCAATCGGTTATTTCAAGTGAAAACTTCAACTATCAATCTTCTAATTCATCAAATTTAAAACATGAAAAATTATTTTGTATAGCTTTATTGTTCTCAGTCTGATATATAGTAAATGGTCTAATCGAGAAGTAAATTTCCTGCGAAAAATAGTTACAAGTCTCCTAAAAATATGATTAATGGCTTAAGCGATTCGGAATGACTTCCAGAAAAAAACGTTTTTTAGATTTTTTGTGGAAAAAATAACAATGGCTATTAACAAAAAACTGTTAAGAAAATTAGAATTCTAGTGTCATCTAGACACTTCAAACAATATAATTCCGCGGTAATAAAACTGGTTTCATTAATTTTTTTTTTAAGAAGTTATTCAATTGTTAATTAACAATTT